TTCTTCTACTTTTGGGCCTGTTCCATGTGCATTTTATTATGATGTTCATTATTGTTATTATTATTTCTTCTTCCTTTGGGCCTGTCCCACGTGCCAGTTTGTCTAGTTTGGTAATTAGTTCCAAYTGAAAACCTTTTCCACTCTCCACACAGCATGTGCATGCCCAGAATTTGGAGTTTACACAAGAGGGGAGAAGGGAATGTTTCCTCTTTGCCTCTTTTAGTGTGGGTTGATGCTGGTTTTAGCTGCCCATCCCTGGGTTCATGGGGTGCAGGGGGGTGCATGGGGTTCCTGATGCACAGACTGCACACGGGTGACACTTCCCCAAAGGRTTTCTCACCTGTCCTGACCATGCACCCCCTGCTTGTCTCACCTTTGCAGCACTCTGTCTAAATGTGGGCACGCTGCTGTGGCAACACTTTACCCCTTCACCTGGCAGCACACCTACATCCCCGTCCTGCCAGCCTCCATGATCGATATCGTGTGCTCTCCGACCCCCTTCCTCATTGGCATCCTCTCCTGCTCCTTGCCACAGCTCCAGGACCTGCCCATAGAAGAGGTGAGAGTGTGTAAGGCATGGACAGTGTCAGTGGGATGAGGTTGAACCTCTCAGGAATCATCTCTGGATTCTGTCTGAATATAAACTCTCAAACTTTTCTGAGCCGGATAAATGTCAGGGTGTTCCAGTGTCAACAGTGATAAATAACATTCACTGTTCTCAGGGACAAGYTGCAGTTATGCAAAACTTGTGTTTTGTGTGTGACATCCCCATTTAAAAAACATCCCACTTTAAAAAAAACAAATTAAAAGCCTGGTTTTTTTTTTTCTGTACCTGGTTATGAGTGTATTTTCTACATCTTTCTCCAGGTTCTGATTGTTGATCTTTGTGCTGACAAGTTCTTGCAAGAGGTGAGTGAAATAACAATACCATAGAACCTGGCATAGTTCTATGCCAGGAAAAGGCATTGATGAAAGAAAATGAAAACAAGAAATCAGGAAAAGCTGATATTTATGGAGACTCCAGTGGCTGAAGAAATACCTTGTAATCCTTTTTARCAACAGAGAAAGGAACAAGCTTATAAATCCTCATTGCAGGGTTGGGGTTCAGTGAGGTGGAGAGCTCTGCAAAGCCAAAGATGCTGCTTTGAGCTGAGTTTAAAAACTSTTACTTGGTTTRTTATGTAAAGGGGATCCCTAAGATTCCTGAAATTAAAAAACTKTTACTTGGTTTATTATSTGAAGGGGATCCCTAAGATTCTCTGCTGCTTTCTGTCTGTCTCTCCCTGTTCTGTACAGCACTTTCTCCAGCTGGGGTGTTTTTCTTGATTTGGGTTGTTGTTTTTCCCAGGAGTGACAGTCGAAGGAACAAATTATCACAGTTCACTTGTGGTTCTCTGCTGAACTTCCCCTAAAGTGCTTCTGCATCCCCAGACAAGAAGCTATAAAAATTCTGGGTGTTTCATTACTAGTTCAGAATATTTGCTTCTCCTTTTCCTTGCCTCACTCCTCTGTTTTGCATTGCAGCCTGCAACTGGAGAAAGGTATTCAAGGATTGGGGGGATTTTTTTTAACCATATTACTGAGACTCTCATGTTTTCTCAACAGAATTTTATTGTTTTTGTGTGTTTTACTGGTGAAATAAGCCTGAGTCTGTGTGGTGGTCAGTTGTGTGTGACTCTAATAAAATGCACTTGGGGATGCTGAGCAAATGTTTTTGATTTCTGTGGCTGCAAGACAAATATATTATCTCCATCAAGATACACCATTTCACAGAATAACCCCCCTCTAACTGCTTTAGGCATGTTCTGAATATTTCTAATCTATCCCCTTGTTCTGCTGATGGGAATAACACAAAAGCCMTTCCTTGGCCATTTCTGTCTGTAGGTATCAGATGAGGACGAGATCCTGCCCCATAAACTCCAGGCTGCACTTGTACAAATCCTGGAAGAGCGAAGTGAAATCCTGTCACAYGGGCAGAGTGACACACAAGGTACTTTCTGTGGAAAAGTTTCCACGTGGAAAAGTGTTTTCCCATTAGCAGATCTCAACCACGGAGTTGATATAAATGAACAAATGGAAATAAACACCAAGAGGTGACATTGTAGTTGTTTTCCTGTGCTCTTGCTGAGAGCATCTTCCTTGTGAATGTGTGAAAAGCTTGGTGTGCTGGCAGTTCCTCTTTTCACAATCAGAGCCCAACAGCATCAGTTTCTGTGCTTTCAGTTTTATTTTTCTAAGTGGCAGAGACAATGTTTTTCTCAGAGAATGCAGCAAGTTCCTGTATTTTAGAAGGTAATCTGAGAGATCATTTTCAGGGTTGAACAGTTTTATACATGATCCATCAGATAAGGAAGTGTGAGGAACTTAAAAAGCTCTGCGTGGCCTGAGAGAACGGCATCAGCAAATCATATAATTCCACACAAACAAAGTTAGTTTTCCAAAGAGTTTGTCTTCTATAGTTTGCCTGATGCTTTAAGAGAATTAAACTTAGCCTGCTATGAGCTGACAGCTTATTAGTCACCAGCTGTTTGACAGGGAAAATGAAATTATGAATATTTTAACTACTGGAAAGGCTTAGAGGGGAACCTGTCCCAGCTGCAGCAGAAAGTTAACAACGGGAAATTGAATCTTTGAGCTGTGACTTCTTTGATATCAATCACCTGGAATTTCCTAGTGTGAGACAACCAGCCCAAAAAGTTCCTGAGCTCCCCAAAAACGCTGCTCCACCTTTAGGAGAGGAACAAACCACAGTGACCACTGAATGTCCTCCCCGCAGGTGACACGAGCCTGAACTCTCTGGTCTCCGAGGCTTTTGTGCGGTTYTTCGTGGAGATCGTGGGCCACTACTCGCTGCACATGAGCGTGACRGAGAAGGGCGAGCGCGTGTTCCAGMGGGAGCCMTTCCGCAAATCCCACGGCTCCCGCACCGTGCGCCACTTCCTGCACTGCTTCATGGAGACCCAAATGTTCGCCGGCTTCATCCAGGACCGCGAGCTCAGCAAGAACCTGGTCAAAGGTGGGTCTGACATCACCCTGCTGATTCACAGACTCGTCTGCTGGTGGAATTTTGTTATATGGAATAGCCCAGTGCTGTTCTAATTACTCAAAATAACTCAGTTTATAAAGCAAAAGAATTTCTGCATCTCTCTCCTTTCCCCTTGATCCTGCATCTTACGCACACCACACACAGGATTTCCTTACGTAGCCTTGTTAATCTTGATGCCACACTCCATCTTTTAGCATAACTCATTTGGTGAGTGATTTTTAATTTTTTTTTTCTCTTTAGGCCTTTTTGAGGTGCGTGCCTTGGAGTATTTGGAGAGTATTCCAGAGACGGAACGAACTGGAATGAACAAAATCCTTCGCAGTCTTGGTAAAGGAGCACACTTGCTTTTTGTTGATTTTTTTTTAATTAATTTTAGCTATTGAATAATTAATTTGATACAAAGGAGAGCAGGACCCCTTCTTTGCCTTGTGCACCTGTGTTCCCCTGTTTACATTTACCACTCCAGGGGACACTGAACACTGTAAKATTTTTCTTTTATTTTTAAGCTTTTGAGTCTTTTTCTAAAGTTGGTGAGAATTGCTGCTCTGAGAGCTGTCCAAACTCTGGTTGAGGACATGCTCAGGGGACAGAGGTTGTGTCTGCTGGCAGAGCTGGCCATGTGTGGCTTTCCACCTTAAGTTCCTCAGCTTGATGAGTCCCGAAGTGTCTCCAATTCACAGAATCACACGATGATTTGGGTGGGCAGGGACACCTTCCACTATCCCAGGTTGATCTAAGCCCTGTCCAACCTGGCATTGGACACTTGCAGATATCCAGGGGCAGCCACAGCTTCTCTGGGCACCCTCACCTAAAGCTCCTAATGCTGTTTATTTCTCCGCAGGCAGTAAAATGAAATTCCTTCAGAAGAAGTGACCGGGCGCTGCTGCGGGACAGC